AAAGAGAGATCAAGTTCATCTGATGTAGGATCTGGGGGAAATGGGGAGCACTACCCTAACTGCATATAGGTCTGTGGGGTTTTGTGCTCAAAAACCATGTAGTTAACTTACACTTTGTTTTTTAAATAAGAGTTTGTGAACATGTTCTCCATTCCTCAACACTGCATTTAAATACAACTCCTGTCTGTCATTGATTTAAACATCAGTAAAGCTTCAGCACCAAGTAGAAATCATTAAAACGAAATTTTTTCACAATGAGAACAATCAGCCATTGGAATAATCTCCCCAGGGAAGTGTTGGATTCCCCAACACTGGACACGTGTAAGACTTGTCTGGACAGGGTGCTGGTCCATCTTGTCTAGACCATGCTTTTGCCAAGAAAAGTTGGACCAGCTGATCCTTGAGGTCCCTTCCAACCTGGGATTCTACTATTCTATGCAAAGACCATCTAAAACAGAACTCAATTCTATGAAGCTCTTTCTCTACAGCACAGATTTAAGACAGACCTGCTACATCCAAATCCACTTTTTTTTTTTAAGATTAAAACAGTCTTTGGATTAAGAAATCCATGACTGAGGTGTTGTGTCACACAGTCATTCAGGACAGGCTGAGCAATAGGTCAGACATGGGGATTGACAGCTGGTGCCTCTTATTGCTACAAGGGAATAGAAGATAACGTACCAGCACTTAAAATAATTAAAGAAAATAAGTAAGAGGAACTTTTACAACTAACACCAGAATGTCGCTTAAGACTTAGTATAACAGCCTATCACAACATTTTATCATTTCTTTATAAAAACTACTGAACAGCAGCCTGTGCATTACTTGTGCCCCCACAATAACAACTAATCAATATTTCTGACCACACAGGAAAAGTGAGTCATGATTTTTTGGGGTTTTTAACAGATGAACAAGACTGGTTATGGAACTGGGCTTGGTGTCTAGAAACATGTGATAAGCTTAAATAAAATACTCTCCCAATTAGTATTTTATCTGATCAATGCTGTTTCTATAATTAAAGTGAAGGTATTTTTAAATCTGTTCAGCTGTTTATTCATGCCTGTGATAAATGTTGCATTTACATCCTTGTACTCATTAACACAACTGAAAAAATCAGGAATGCTGTGGCAGAACTTGAAGACTTTTTTGGTTTTTAAACAGCATTACTGAAACTTCACTGTCTCAACTTACTGAAGGGCTAAGGCTACTCCTTGTCCAGCTTTTCCTGGACAGGTTTGTGCTCCCTAGCAAATCTGTCTTGTTTTTTAATTCTGATGGAATTTGCAATTTGAGTCATTAATCTAGGATGCATAGCCACAGAGCAGTCCCAGGCAGAATGCTACTGTACATGTATGGATTAATTTTGGATGTGTTTGATTTGCTGTGCATGTGCAGATCACCTGTTTGCATGACATGCAGTAGGTCCAGTGTTTCCAGGCTGCAACAAAAGCACTGGCTGTTCTTGATGTGGGACTTGTACACGAGTCTCTGCTTAGGAAATTCTGACAGCTTTACTCAAGGAGAACAGAAAAGACAATATTCACTTTTAAAATCAAGGATTCTTTCCATGACAGTTTCTAAATCAACAGAATAGGCAGAATGAGTATGTAGGAGATGTAGCATGCAGGAAAAAAAGAATAATGACATCAGTGAGAAAACAGTTTAAATTAGATGCATAAAGTCCTTTTCTCACAGATAAGAGTAGCAAAGCAACAGCTTTTTTCCCCCTATGGGAGCAATATGAGCCCATTTTGTTATGCAATAATACATAATGGTTTATGGAAGAATTGCATTTAATGCAGCTTCACTTCCAAACAAGTAGAAATCACTTTGTTACTGACTTATGAAGACAAATGCCATAGCAGGTGTCAGCCACCACACACTTGGTACTGCTCAGAACACACAGGTATTTTTACACATTGTTCACAGCACGTCAAGTACCACCTATGGAAGAAGTGCAGCACTCCAGCAGTACAGAAGGAAGCTGCAGCATTTCTAGAGTAGCTCAGTGCAAACAGGATACGTATTCCATGTGCATCACAAGGTTGAAATGTGTTTGTCTTCCATTCGTTTCTTTGGTACCCTTATGGAAAAGTTCTACAGGGTTTAACAAAAAGGGGAACAAAGGTAGTTTCATGAAAACTTAACAGTATGGAAATTACTTTCAGCTAATTAAATATTTCTGATGAGATGATGGAAAAACACACAGAAAAATGACATTAAGTTCTACTGCATTTTGTTCATAAAGGCATGAAATGGCAGAGTGCTATTCTGGGTAGAAATAACAAAGAAATTTGTAGCATTCCATAACATTCTCACTTCGTTCTAGTTTTTGCCACTGGAAAGGAAAACAGTAGCTTAGAATAAAAGGCCCAGTTTTGCTCACATTGAAATCAGTGAAAGTCAGAGTCAGATGGAGGTAACAGCAGTCCCCAAAAGTGGTATGCTATAAGCAGCAAGAGCAGCAAAACAAATACATGAACTGTTGATTAAAAAAAAAAAACCCAAAAAAACCAAACCCAAGATGCTTCCTGTTCTCATTTCTGCCCTATATTTACCTGCTTTATAGCTAGAGGTAAGCACACTAAGATTCACTTGTTTCCCTTGGGAGTTAACTATTATTAACAACACTACCCAATCTCTTAAGAGAAATGCAATGGCTGGGTAGAGATTTGAAGCTAACAGAAACCTGAAGATTGGGGTGAAATAAATAGCATTTATTACAACATATTCCTTCTTATGTGACACAAACTGCCCTCTGAATCCTACAGTTCAAACAACTCCCCCCTCCCCTCCCATACACACACTCCAAAGCCAAATCCCACCAAACAATTAAAAGAAATAAAACTCATCTTAACAGCAACAAGTTGATGGGAAAAAAAATCTCTATATTAACCTACAATGAAATGACACCAAGTACTTCCAGTTTTCTCTAGGATAAGCCACTTTTCATATATTGTGGCTCTTTCTTCGCAGTCGTTTGTAGCCATTGTCCATTCTTGCAAGAAAGAGTTCAGATATAAATTCAACTTCAAGTTATTCTCTGTTCTGTGAAAAATTAGGGGATAAATCCTTCTGTCACCACTATGGTCAACTCCCACCGACATCAACCAATCAGCACTTGAGTTTACCCAAGCACCTAATCACTCATGCTTAGGGTTAAGCACGTGCTCAACTGTTCTGTTGTACCAGGAACCTAGTTGCAAGCATAGGATCAACCTTCAACAACTGTGCTTGAATTGTCTCAGACAACCTGTG